AAACGTTTGTACCCCCATAATATTCTGAAATAAAAAACAAAACAGAACCAAAAACCCTTGCTGCTAATTCACACGTACGTTGAGATGGATTCGCTTCCATCGCAGCTTTCAGCTCGTCATCATCCACCCTGGCCTCGCGTTGCCCACGTGGCTCATTTTCAAGATTAAAATCACCAGAACGGAACTTCTCAAACCAGCGACGTGGTGTGCGTTCATCAGCCACATCCTTCCCAACACTTCACTGATGTTTCGAGCTGTCTGCGCTGCATTGGTTCCACGACGGAACTCGTATTCGAAAATAACATGAATTCTTGACTTCTCCATGGTTTTGTAAACATTGCTCTAAAAAAATGTGTATCACAAGCCAAAATGTGTTTGAAAGACTGAAGATGTCCCTCCACAATAAACACAAGGCGGGAAGTGTCAAAGTGCAATGTCGGAGATATCAGCTGTCAAACTTGGTCCTTAAAGAAATGGGACGTTCCGTACTTAATAACCTAATATGCACAAGCACTTCAGAACGATCTGCACCAATGACGGTTTTCCTCAATTTCCTGTTTTTCCCCCACTTGTGTTAGTTTTCAAGGGCTGCCATACCAAGTCCCACAAAGTGGGGGCCTTCGAACAACAGACGCTCATTTTCTATCTGGAGGCTGGAAGTCTGAGACCGGGTGTCGGTGGGGCAGCGGCCCCAGCCTCCCCGCAGCTCCCGGCGTGCGGGGCAGTCCTTGGTGTTCTATGGCTTGCAGGCGCGTCACCGCTGTCTGCCTTCAGCTTCACGTGGAGTTCCCTCTGTGTATGTCTGTCTAAATCTACCTTCCTAAAGATACATATATTTTATCGGAGACGGCGTTTCACTGTCGCCAGGCTGGAGTGTAGTGGCTGTTCACAGGCGCGATCACAGCTCACTGCAGCCTCCACCTCCTGGGCTCAAGCATCCTCCCGCCTCAGCCTCCTCTGAGTAGCTGGGACCACAAGGTGCGCCACCACACCCAGCTCAAATCTCCCTTTTATACTGACGCCAGTCATGCTGAATTAGGGCCCACCCTAGCGACCTCATTTTAACTTGATTACTTCTGAACAGACCTTCTGAGGGACTGCAGGTTAGGGCTCCAGCGTGTGAATTTTGGGAGACAAGACCCAGTCCGTAACATCACTTAACCTCATTTACCACTTTCTCCCGCAGCAGGCCTGTGTGCACCCACCTCTTCTGTCCTCGTCCCTGGACCCGGGGGACTCCCCTGCAGACCAGGACGGTGGCTGTGTCCCAGGATTTTGCCGCTAAGTGGGACAGCAGGCAGGCTTTAGGAGGATCAGTGGGCTCCCAGGCGGGCAGGGCACTGGGGGACAGCGTTCGGACGGCCACTGTCATCACACTAGTTGACACCTCACACTTGACAAACGACAGCGTGACCCCATTTCTGTGGGTTGCAGAGATGAACCACGTTTCATCTGGTCAAGCGTGAGGTGGAACATTTTGACACAATGTGTTGTTTTCTCTTTCCTTTTCTCTGAGGCGCCAGTTCATATCCTCTGTCCATTCTGTTTTTCTCGTGGACGAGTAAGGCTGCTTTTATCCCCACGTACAAACACGCCGGGTGGCCAGGGCAGCAGGTGCAGAGGGCTCAGGGCGTCTCTGCAGCTGGCGCAGGAAGCCGGCAGGTGGAGCTCTGGCCACACTGGCAGGAAACAGCCGAAACCCGGGCGCTTGGAATCGATGCAGAGGCAGGGCGGAGGGGAACCGAGGTTCTAGCTGGGAGCAGAGCTCCGGACTGCAAAGGATGCCAGCGCCCCACAGCAAGTGGCCAAGGCTCGTACAGCGGCCCGTAACCGGAAGCCCTGGCTGGTGGCTCCAGGAAGGGGCCAGGCTGGGCTGGCAAAGAGGGCCCTGGGGCGTGGCCACCTGAGACAGTCATGGGGCCTGGATGGTGGCACGGGGGCCCCGCCACAGCTGAGGCCTCGGCGAGCAGGCAAGTGAGCAGTGCCACCTTGGCTGCCCTACCCAGGCCACTCAGGCACCGGGACCACACTGCTTCGGGGGGACTAAGGCAGCCAGGCAATCCTGTGGGTGCCCTGGGTCCCCAGGGGGTGTCTCCCCTCGGGGTACCCCCTGGGGGTGCCCCCCCAGACACCAGGGCCCAGGAAGGATGGAGGCACAGCGCGTGACCTCAAAGGCAGAGACTGAGCTGTGGGCACCAGTCGGCCGCGAGGCAAGGGCGGGGCGCACAGGCTCACTCGCAGACGGCCAGAGCTGCCCTGGCCTTTTCCTTCCAGCGGGGACCATGCAGGCTGTGGCTTCTCAGCCCCTCCGGGTGCTGCTTTTTAAAGGCTGATAGGGATAAGAAACCTGCTCCGAGCCCAAGTGGGAAGGATGGGAGATGGGTTCAAACACCAAAGCCAGGCTGGTCCCCCAGCCTGTCCTGTCTGGAATGTGAGCCCCACCCTGGGGGGCCCTGCCTGCCAGAGCTCAGCTGGCAGGAGGGGGCTTCTCTTCCAGCTGGGCTTATCACCCCTGTAATGCCCTGATACTGATGGGGAAACTGAGGCCAGGCTGGTCATTTCTCCTACC